TCGCTGTCTTGTCCTAATGACACTGAACTTCAGTGGAATAGGATCTCGGCCACTATGCACAACGCAGGAGCATCTGTTTGTGGCACTATCAGTCGTCATCGCACCAGTCACTGGATATCCGAGAGGTCCGTGAACCTTTTGGAAGCTAGAAGGCACCTCCCGGCTGGTTCTGAACATAATGTGACCAGACGGGCTATTAGGCGTGAACTAAAGTAGAGCCTACGTGCTGACAAGGAAGCCTGGTGGACCAGTCGGGCTCAAGAAATGGAGGAGGCAGGAGCAGTAGGTTATTACCGCAAGCTCTTCCAGCTAATACGCACCACTGGTCCCAGAAAACCAGGCGTCAGTGAGACCGTCAGAGACAGCGCGGGTGCGCTGATACACAATAAGGAGCGCCGTATGGCTCGTTGGGCTGAACACTTTGAAGCTCAGTTCAACTGGCCACCTGCTCCCGGACCTCTTCCTACTCAGGTGATGCAGGACGAGTCATGGACGGTTAGTTTAGAGCCTCCGTCGGAGGCCGAGGTCCGAAACGCGATCACAGCCCTTAATCGTTTTCGTGCCGCTGGCCCGGATTCCCTCCCACCTGCACTATTTAAGGATAGAGGTGAGGTCCTCTGCAGGGCACTGACCTCTCTATTCGAACGTATCTGGAACGAAGAGAGTGTGCCGGCTAATTGGAGCGAATCGATTATAGTGGCAATATACAAAAGAGCAGTCGCACAGACTGTGCGATCCACAGGGGTATTAGCCTAACGCCAGTTGTGACAAAATTACTGGCCTCGATTCTCTTTCGTCGCCTCGCTGCAGAACGGGAATCTCGGATTAGGGAAGAGCAGGCCGGTTTTCGCCCAGGACGTGGCTGTATAGACCATATATTTACTTTGCGGCAGGTGCTAGAGCAGCGCCACGCATACCGCAGACCGACAATATATGTGTTCCTCGATTTCAAGAGTGCGTTCGATTCAGTCAATCGCTCGATTCTGTTCGAATTACTTACGCGAAAAGGTGTTCCCACGAAATATGTGAACATCCTTCGTGCTCTATACTCGAACACTACAGGCCGCGTCAGGGTCTATGGTGTCCTATCGGATAGCTTTTCGACTACAAGTGGCGTTCTTCAGGGTTGTCCGATTTCCCCATTTTTGTTCAATTTCGTCGTGTATTCTGTCATGAAGTGTTCCCTTGCCGAATCTCACGATTTATGCGTTGAAGTGCTGCCTGGTGAAAGGTTAGTTGATCTAGATTATGCGGACGATATCGTCTTGCTTTTCGACAATGTTGAGGCGGCACAACCAACCCTGAATAGCCTATCCAGAGTTGTACCATTATTTGGTATGCACTTCGCACCTTCAAAGTGCAAAGTGTTGCTGCAGGGTCACCAGCCACTTTATGACCCCTTGACGCTTGCTAACGAGGAACTCGAGGTGGTTGATCAATTCACTTATCTTGGCAGCTGCATCAGCAGTGATGGGCGCATAGAAACTGACGTGAGCTCACCCATTGCAAAGGCCAGAGCTGGCTTCTTGAACCTGCGTCATCTTTGGCGATAGAAGGGAGTTTCCCTCCGTCTGAAATGCCGTGTATACAAGGCTACAGTGAGGGCCGTTCTGCTGTATGGTAGTGTTGCTTGGCCCCTTCGGTCTGAAGATCTGAGGCGCCTTCAAGTCTTTGATCATCGTTGTCTGCGAAGCTTTGCTGGTGTCGGATGGCACCAGCGTGTCCGCAACGATGATGTGCGTAGGCGAGTACTAGGTGGTGGTGATCATGCTAGCTCCCTAGAACATTAGATAGCACTGAATAGGTTGCGTTTGCTCGGGCACGTGCTACGCATGCCTGATCACCGCTTACCCAGGAGGGCCTTGTTCAGTCTTCCAGGTGTAGGATGGCGCAAGGCTTGCGGTGTACAGAAGTTGACTTGGCAGCGGAAAATGAAGTCACTGACGACCAAGCTGGGTGCCGTTGGTCCGTCTCGCCTTCCGGGTTGGAGTCCACGTGACTCACCTTGTGCTTGGCTTGAGACTTTACAGGACATGGCTCGCAACCGACACCAGTGGCGCGACTGCTGCCGTCTCCTAATCGGATTGCCTGTTTAAGGTGTGTTTGGTGCTGAGTTATCTGCGGGGTAATGGCTGATTATGACGCGTGGCAGTGAAAGCCGCAAGGAAGCTGTCTCGCCGATGCCGCCTTATCTTCGCACGATAGCCAGCCGTTTGTGACGGTATGTTGTCTACACAAGGTGTAGGCGCCTTGACCGTGAATGTTTGCTTAGGGCATTAAGGTTTTCAGGTAAGTCCCCCTTCTCTCCCTCTTCTTATTCTTTATTTCATAGTTCCTCATGGTTGTATGGCAGCGAAGCATCAGTTCAAATGGCTGATGTACTGCTGCTGTTGATGATGATGAGTACAAACGAAATTTAGTCCGCACTCTTGCCTTGCGGGCACATAGACTTTGCACACCTAACAACATCACCCAAGAATTGCACAGGATCGGCGACGTGCTAAGAGCGAATGGGTATCCAAATAAATTCTTCTTCAAACATTTGAAAGAACACAAGATAAAACCACCGGGGATGAACGTATCCAAAAAACTAATTGTGCATATTCCTTTCAAAGGCGACAGTGCGGCCGATGCCCTGTCCAAACGCCTGAAAGACGCTGTTGAAAAGACCTATTTCGCGGCTCACCTACGCATAGTATTTTACAACAAGCCTTTATTCTCAAAGCTTTTGGAAGGTAGGCTACATCCGGGGACTCGATCAATACTTGTTTATCCTTACTCGTGTTCCTGTGGTGCCCGATACGTGGGTCGTACTACGAGGCGCCCATCTCATAGGATTCGCGAACACATTCCAAAGTGGCTTTACGAAGTCGAAGCGAGGTCTAGTAACAGCTCCATATTGTTTCACCTTCTAGAGCAGTCACGCAGGGACGGAAAACGATTTCAGAGTCATCTATACTATCCCTGAACGTTTCTCGCGCGGATTCCAGAAGCATCTCCTGTCTATTGCGGAAGCCATCTACATCCGCAACCTCCAGCCAGAATTATGCGTATAAAAACAATTTGTATTTCCTTTACTTCTACCGTGGCCTACAACTTCGGCTGTGATTTCCCCTGTACATACTTTGCCATCTTCATTGACCCCGTGATTTATTGATTTGTTCCTGTTGGAATTAAACATTATGATCAATACGCAGCCCAATCCGACACATATAGTACTTCGTCGTCATCATGTAATGTTTGAGTCTGATGAGAATTGCCGAAAAGAGCACTCAGATTCTGCCTCCCTTGATTCATTCTAATAAATGGGAATTTTCGGATTGCTGGAGATCAGCATTCTCCGTGATTGCTTGTTGCTTGACATCCCCGGTATGGCTGCGCTTGATATGCGTGTTGCCAAGGTGCTTACCTGTCTGTTACCCACAACTTCGCCCATACTTACTCCAGGAAATAGATGATCGTCTCTGGAGGGGACGGTCCCCGTGGTCGTGCTAGGCTCAAAAAGTGGTTCCATCCCGTATGGTGCGGATTACGGTCCAGCCACCGCCTTGTGTGAGCTTGATTTCCCAAACCTAGCGTGTTTACATTTGTCTTTGAAGGAGTGTGGGCCGTCTCCATTGATGAAACGTGGTCCCCCATCCATTTGCTTCCCGGTCTTATTCCTTCGGGTTTACAATGGATATGGGGTGTGTGGTTAGCGCTGCGGGTGATGCAATGCTGGCCGCCCGTGGTCCCTCTGTATGTGCAGACGTCGTGTGGCTCTCCTATGGAGGCCACAATGACAGGCAAATCCGGAACCGGGTGCCGCCAACTAAATCTGTGCAGTAGACAGATGAATGGACATAGTGCCACCTAAAAACTTTGGTACTCCCAGGAAGGATGCAGGCGCTAAAGTCGTGACAAAAGGACGCAGAGCATGTTTTCTCTTCTTTCTGTCTCCGTTAATTCTCTTTTATCACTTTCAATATTAATGACTTGCGCATCTGAATCAATGCGATAACGCACACAATTATTCCATAGAGTTCGGTTGTATGCCATGCCTTAAATGTTTACACACCCTAGTCATTTCATCCGCGAACACGAGTGCATTGGTTTAACCGCGGTTATTCATGAATTTAATGCTTTTGTATTATTATTAGGTGGAGCTCTGATCGCCACGTGGTCTCTTCCAGCCCAATCCTGAACGAGTTAATAGGACATTATGGGGTGAACGTAGGACGTAACCGAGTCGTCACAATTGACGCAGCAAAACTGGCCTTCTGAACTTAACATCCGCATTTACCAAGACACGATGTCCTACTCCATCAGTGTAATCTCGGTGTTTCCACCACACACAAGCATTGCACTTCGAGTAGCCATCACCTAAAGTCGGTGCATGTCACGCACGCGCGCTGGCAGAAACTCGCTTCCATACAGCAATGCTGCTCGAACGGAGACCTCGTAAGCCCTAACCTTGAATGAGTGGAGGACGTCGCGCTGACGCAACTAGTGTCTCAGATTGACCAACATTAACCAGCGTTTGGTGAGGCCAAAACTTCCTTTTCAATAGTGCCACCAGGGTATACAATTTGGTATTCATTCGCTCCGTCATTCCAAGTGTCAGTGGTGTATCAGTAGACCTCGTGCTAACAACAAAATGGGGGAAATAATGATCGACATGCCTCTCAAGAGATTCTCGGTTTTCCCATGCTTCACCGCTCACTCTTCTCAAGCGAAATACGTTCAGTAATTGATGAGAATTGGATGGGTCTTGTTAGGAGATCTTGTTGCAGCCATTTAGCTTTCATAGGTGACTGCTACCTACAAATTTCACTATCTTGTTGGTGCTAGTACTTAGAATTGAGGTCTATCACTAGACTACCTGATGTCCATATTTATATTTCTATATTTTATTTACCAACTTTATTCTACGCAGCGACACCCTAACTTTTGTGTTAGCATAGACAGTTCAATTAATTTCTTCACACTTTACTGCAAATTTCGATTTTTGTTTTTTCGAGATTCCTGATCAATGCTCTCACAAACCCTTATCAACGAAAGCTTCATCTCAAGTCCGAGAGATGTGGAAGCACTGGTTTACCGAGCTCTCATCCGCCATGCGAGGATCTTCCACGAGGCAGTCTTTGGAATCATTTGTAGCCACGCCAGAGCACTGGGGATACATTCAACGCGTGCTCATGGCACTCGATAAAGCTGCACGAATGCGTTGCTGGGTCGATGTCGCCACAGGTGAACGCGTTTAGCTGTTTTTGCGACTTCATTCCCCATTGTTATAATATCGTCCTTAGACTTTGTGCCAAATGTACGTTCTCTTATCGTTCACTATATTTTGTCCATTCCGTTCCATGAGTACTTCGCGGACATTGTGATGTGAACCCCTCTATAAAGTACTTTTGTCAACTGTTCTACCTTTTTATTTTACAACGCTTGTCTATCCGACTCTGTTTTGCAGTACTCGCTAAAGGTTTGTTGTACATAAGCCATCTATGGCGCTAACAACCGAAATGTTGAATTTTTGGTTCGCAGCGCCTGCCTTGACTGGCCCATAGCCACTCTGCTGCATGCTTCCTTATTCTGAAAATCAAACCTAACGCGTTAGGGAAACTACTAGTTTTACGACTCTTGAGCACTTGACTTTCCACGCTGTCTTCCGTATTTGTTCCTGTGACTGGTTTCCACTATCTAGCGATTCTTCAGATAGTTATTCCATTTACTGCTTTAGGGCCGCACAATCACGATTGTGCTAAGAAATAACTCACATAGGAAGAGCTTCGAGTTGGAAAATCTCTTTGTGGAGGTTGGCGGATAAGTACTGAGTCGATACGGGTTTCTTTCTTTACATTCACACAAAGACTTTCTTTCTGACTTTGAAGAGTTAGTAAGCAGGCACTGTTGTCTTCCGTAGCTTTTGTTTCCGCCTGAAACATTCTCCTTTGGACTTCTATCTTTTATGCTGTCGGGTCTGTTGAAAAGACACAGTTTTACTAAACAACTATCCGAACTCCCATGGTTTCTTGCAGTGGTGCTTCTATGTTACAATTACTACAACCGGCTAGTTTTCGTTGTCATCAACATAATGAGATAACTGTAATTTGTGGGACCAAATTGAACGTATACCAGCGTCATACTTTTGCTCTCACCGCTATTCAATCGAAGGCTGTTCCAGCCATCTGGCATCCATAGAACAATGATTTATGGCGTGTAAAATCCATAGGATTGACAAGTCCCTAGGTTGCTAACCGAAGGGATTGCAAATTCGAAGACACTGCACAAGTGGACCAAATGAAAATGTGCATTGGTGAAACGACCAGGCAAGTGCATATTAGACACAGGGTTGTAGGAATGTTTTGGCTCCATGCAAAGCGGAATGCTAAATTAATTTGCTCAATGCCCACTCTAAAGAACAATCTGATTGCTCACCCGTCTGCGCTGATTTACGTGTACTTTTAGGGCTGTTAATCCCAAAGAGCTAGTTAGCCGAAATACATCTCAGAAATTTCGTTCAAATGACAAAGTGTAGAGAGAGGTGTGCGATATGCGAATGCTCCTTTTTCTAAATGCCCAAAGTAGGGGAACACATAACTGCGTTTGTAGGAGTGTTCTAAGGTTGGCAGACCGGGAGGAAGAAGTAACTTTTTCGACCATCTAGACAACTGTATTCTTGACTTACTTTCAAGCTATTACCTCTCAGGTTGGTGTTCGTGTGGAACTTCAGGTAGTGACATACGTGACTTGTATCATTCAGCATTTGGTATACCTTTATGGGGTCTCCACGTAACAGTCTGTAGCGTCCACTGAATTCTCCTAGTGTTTTTGCCACTCCTGCCACGGAGCGCTCGACAGTTTTTATCGCTTGACGTGGTGAGGTCTCGAGCGCTGCGAGGCCACGCTTTAGCCAAGATTTCCAAGCCTTGATAACGTGTTCGACGTGGGGACGCACGTACCCATTGGGCATCATAGAGAAGATAGATGAATCCAAACTCCCGAGTGCTCGGTTCAGGAGACCAAAAGGCTGGTTGTCGCTTTGCAGCAAACTCAGACTGTCTGAAGCAACGGAGATCGTGCTGTATGAGCACACCTGTTAATATCAAAGGTTGCGCATGAATCGTACTTTAAGTATTTGCACATACCTCGCGCGGTAGATGGCCGAGCCGGTCGGCGACACAGAGAGCCAGAAGAGGACACTCCATCGCATTCGCATGCTGTGCGATCTCCCCCATCAGCTACGCAAACCAGACCGTACGTAGAGACGTCAACACCTAAGTGTACACTATTTTACTGTACCACCTGTTTATTTATCATTCTACCTAGCTGTTGCTATATCGGATTCTTTCAACTATGGATACCCAAGATTTTAGGCTGTCACATCTAAATGTTGAAGAAAACATCAACAGTTCGTAGTAGGTACTTATTGTCATGCCTAAGAAATTGGCTGTTAGCCTGACCATCATTATACACGTTAGCTAGAGGTGGAGAACACCTCAGCTACTGTGCCGCAATACATAAAAGAAAAAAGGAGCAAAAGAATGCAACTGGTGCAAGCTGGCCGAGTTACCGGTAACGGATGGGTATCGTTCCGGTAAGTTACCAACCGGCTACTGTGCATCAAAAAAGAAATTACTATGCAAAATTATATGAGGTTAAATAATGAGATCGTGGTTGGAGGGGAGCCTAAGAGGGATGGGGAGGGACAAAGAAACTCACAGCACCTACGCCACTGAGGTCGGCTCCTAGCCATATCAGCAAGTGTATCCAATTAAACGTGTTCATCGTCTTTCTGACCCCAACCAGGGAGCCGTGAAGCTCCAACCGAGGCTAGCTCCGAAGTGAGGGCCTTCATTCCTCTCGACCAAGTCATTGCTTGGCCACCTCTCCTCTTCTTCCATCCACACCCATGGCGAGCTAACAACGCACGTCGTGGGAGTCAGTGGGCTGGCATGCGTAACACGTGGTCGAGCCATCGGAGCCTGGTGCCTGAAATGACGGTACTGAGCGGTTCAGTTCCCTTTTACTGTGCCGTAAACAAGGCGTCGAACACGCTCGTTGCTCGCACGGTGTTCCCACCAGATGTGAGCTAAATTGCGAAGGCAGCGGTGGTTGAACGTAATTAACCTCTTTATGTCCGCTGATCTAAGGGGCCAGGTTTCGCAGCTGTACAGTAGGGTCGAAGGTACCGTTGCGTTTTGTATATTCTGCCCTTCAGGAAACGAGTGATGTCGCGCCGGCGACATAAGTGGCGAATGTATGCAAAAGCGCTTCGAACTTTTGCTATACGGTTCGTGATCTCATCTTCGATTCCACGGGCGCTAATACAACTTCCCATGTAGTTGAATTTTTGAACGACTTCAAGCTGATCCCCACCAAGGATCAATGTATGGGGCGGTCCAGAGCAATCTTGGAGGAACGCTTTGCACTTCGATGGTGCAAAGCAAAGCCCGAAGTGACGGACAGCCAGTGCTAATCTGTCCAGTGCCGCTTGACACGTTTGTGAGATGTCACAGATTAGGGCAATATCATCGCATATTACAAGTCAAGAAGTCGTTCTCCTGGGAACTGATCCACGCCTTCTAAGTCGTGTCCTGTGGAAGCGATTTCCATGACTTCATCAATAGCGAAGTTGAAGAGGAAAGGTGACAGCGGGCGTCCTTGTCTCACACCGCTGGAAATATTAAAGGGCGACGACAACTTGCCGTAAGCCCTCACTCTGCCCGAGCTACGCGCATATAATGATCGGATAATATTCACATATTTCTCAGGCACACCTTTCCTGAGTAGACAGTCCCAAAGTGCATGTCTATCCACCGAATCGAATGCACCTTTGATATCGAGGAACACGACAACGGTGGGCCGCCAATATGTGTGACGGTGCTCCAACAACTGACGCAAAGTGAAGATGTGGTCAATGCAGCTACCACCTCGACCTAATCCAGCTTGCTCTTCACGAATCTGGCTTTCACGAGTACCAGTCAGTCTGTGAAGGATGACAGAGGCAAGCAATTTGGAGGCGATGGAGATCAGACTGATTCCTCTATGGCTGCCGCATTCCGATCGTGATCCTCCTTTGAAACTTGGGACTATGATGGAGCGGCTCCAATCGGTTGGGACAGTCTCCTGCTCCCACAGTCTCACTAGTAACTCGTGTAAATTATCCACAAGAGCAGGTCCCCCGAATTTGAAGAGGGCTGGAGGAAGGTTATCAGGTCGCGCGGCTTTATTTAACTTCAACAGTTCGATCTCACGTTCGACTTCTGAGCGAGAGGGTGGATCCAAAGGGACAGTCCAGGGTGGCCGGCGAGAAATCTAACAATTCCGACCGATTAAATTGCCTTTCAAAGTGCTCAGCCCAACGTTCCAGGCGTTTTGACAAGTTGTGGATAGTTTGTCCACTCGCTTCGCAAATTGTTTCACTAATACCAGATCTCCTGCTGCCGGATTCCCGTTTCGGCCGGAGTAACTTACGATGGTTACCAAGGGCAGTGGCCATTTCCATCTCTGATTCACGATGAGACCACTAGGAGTCACGGTCTCTCTTCAGGCTAGCAGGGAATTTTGCCCGGGGCTCTTTGCGAGTTTCATTGTGTTCGCTTCCAGCCAGAATATGTTGGCGACCATCGATAAGTTCCAGAGACTGCTGTTAGCTTAGCCTCCAAAGGAAACCCATACACGTTTGTAGTACTATTGATCATGAAGTCTAATGTGTCTCTATCCAGTTTTTGACAGATCACACTTAAGTTTGGATAAACGCATGTACATATGTGGTCTTTGAACTGCCATTGGACACGGATGACGCCAATCCATGTATGTATGTATACAGAATGAATTCGACGAGGACACTCATACCGCTTTTGTACGACCAACTTAGTGCATGGAAGCGCTACTGGGGTGAATGGCAAGTAACATTACGAGAATATGAAGAAGGTGAGTTTATGACAAACTCGTGTAGATTTCAGGTGTTGCGAATCCAAGGTAATTTTGATCCAACGAATTCCGTTTACTGGTCAAAAGACCGATTGCTCAGGTGCAAGCGAACGCACTATTGCACGCGGAAGAGAAGCACGATGCGTGCGCTCCTATTCGATTTAATAATCCAGGCCAATAAGGCGGCGTATGTGGTACGCTTGCCTGCGTGCTGAGTAATCTTGCATTTCAGTAGTATAGGTTGTTTGAGCTCCCCGGTGTGGTTGCGCCTGATGTGCATGTTGACAAGATGCCTACCTGTTTATTGCCCAATAACTCATCCATCCTGGCTCCAGGAGACAGTTGGTCATTGCTGGAGAGGACGGGGTCCACCATTCTCGTGATGGTGCTAACCTCTTAGTGCTTCCATTCTGTGTGGAACGGGCTACAGTCCAACCACCGCCATGTGTATGTCTGATGTGCATGATTTCCCAATTAAGCCGGAATGCTTCTGTTCTGCTCGTTGCAGGGGTGTCAGACGGCTCCGTTGATGAAACCTGAACCCATCCACACACCTCCCTGTCTTATTCCTTCGGGTTTACACCAGATATGGCGTGTATGAGTGGAACTGTGGATGGTGCAGCACAAGCCACCCTTGGTCCCAGCAGTTGTACTCGCTTTTTGTTGACTTCCCCAGTGCGTTTGGTACGGTGAACCACGAGGCATTGTGGCTAGCGTTGGGTAAGTTTGGTTGCCTGCGTAAGTTTGTAAGGTTGATTGAATGTCTGCAGAGTGGTATGCGGGCGAGAGTGCAGCTGAGTGGAGAGACCTCGGATGACTTTGCAGTTGTCACTGGTGTAAAGCAAGGCTGTGTCTTAGCTCCTGCCCTGTTTAATCTATATATTCGTGCAACGATATCTTGTGCTTTCGATGCGGCTTGTGATTGCGGTGTTCGTATGGAGCACTGTATTGATGGTGGGTTGCTGAACGTCCGTCGTTTCGGTGCGAGGACCCTAGTCTGTGAGACAATATCTATATGTTGCTGTTTGCTGACGACTGTGCCTTTTTTGCACACAGCGCGGATGAGTTGCAGCACATGACTAGTGCTCTGGCTTCGACTGCGGCCAAATTCAGGCTCACCATCAACACAAGCAAAACTGTCTGTCTCTCTCAGCTTTCACCGGAGGTGCAATCTTCAATAT